CTTGTGACAACAGGTCATTACTCCCCTTCAAATATCACCTTCCCCATGAGGACTATCTGGATTCTGTATTTAAAATTGCAACCCTTCTCCTTCCTTTCCCCCCACACTCTTGATCTCCTAACCAGTTGTGCTCCCTCCCTCCATAGTACTTAGCATTTTCTATAGTTTACTTAATGTGTTCGCTGTTATTGTTTGTCTCTCCCGCACTAGAATGCAAGCACCACAAAGAAAATTGTTGTCTCTTTCATTCACTGAGAATAGACACTGATATATAAAAGTATTTGTTGAATTGTAGTATCTTCATGAAGGAAAAAAGCAGAAAACAGTCTGAATATGGATAGCTGCCTTGGTGTTCTGAAAAGAGAGATTAAATCTGATGTAACTTTGTGATCTCAACTACATTTTAAACCACAGCTTGTTTCTCTTGCTCTCATTCCCTAGCTTTTAAAATAGCTCCAGTCAAGCAGAATTAAGCTTCTTTGTGAAATTTTCAATATGTCATATTTAAAGACTGAATTTTGAAGGTAGCATACAAAGTGGGAAATGTCATGGAATTTAGAGATAAGCCACTTTATTGTCACCTATTAGGTGTGACTTTGGGCAAGTTACTTAGCCATGAAGTCTACATTTTCCTATATGTAAAATTAGAATAAAACATACTGGGGCATTTATTGGGTGGGCTAAATACACACAAAGTTATGTGAAAATACTTAGTACACAGTAGGTATTGGTTTATATCTATTTCTGTCTCCTTCCCTCCCCTCACCATAAAACAGCTTTTATTAAATTTTTATTTAATATTATTTAATGTATTTTCAACTTAACACTAATTTTGGTTTCCATTGACCTTTAATGAAGATTATTTTAGTAATCTATGGTAAGCTAAACTTTCACCAATATATATGAAGAACCCATTTTATGTAGCATTCACTGGGGCATGGATTTTTGGGGATTGTTGGGAAGGTCTGAGTTTCTCTTGTGTAATTTACACAAAAGATGTTTTGTGTTCATCTTGTTGTTTCAAAGATACCACCAATGCTCTCTTCATTGGTTGGCATTTTAGACTGTAAGGCTGGGAAAAATCAGTTTCTTCCTTTTGCACATTAAGAAATTAAGTCTTCTGCCTGGTAAGTGTCAGAGTAAAGGATAAGAATGTAAATTGACCTCTTGTCCAGTGCTCTTTCTACCATATTATACTTTCATCTAAATAAAATACAAAGTTTAGGGTGTCTGGGTGTCAGTCGGTTGAGTGTCCAGCTCTTGATTTCAGCTCAGGTCATGATCTCAGTGTCTTGAGATCAAATGTGGGGCTCTGTGCTCAGTGGGGAGTCTGCTTCTCTCCCTCTCCTTCTGCTACCCCCACCCCAGCTCATGCTCACGTGCGTGCATGCTCTCTCTCTCTCAAATAAATAAATCTTTAAGGAAAATAAGTGAAATACAAAGTTTGATGGGTTTTGTTATTAATATGGTATTGTTGTAACAAACTTTTATCGCACGTTTTTTACTTTTTAAATAGGTAATACATGCACAAGATAGTAAAGGTTGTACATAAAAGTAAGTCTCCATGAGCTCTGCCCCCAGCCACAACAGGCCTCCACTACTCACTGCATATATTCCACATATTCTTCTGTTATTTTACCCAAATGTAAACTTTTATGTACTTTGCTTTTTTTCACTTAAAAATGTGAAAATAATCTTTGTAAATGATACGTATTTGCTTCTCAGAGCTCCGTGACCACCTCTGGTTACTCCCAGCCGGCATCATGAACAAGTGCTTATTTAGCATTATGTCAGGCAATATTCTAAGCTCTGGGAGCAGAGGAGCGAACAAGATAGAAGAAAACCACTTGTCTTCACAGAGTTTACCTTCCTAGTTTGTGGTTAGTGATATGATAGGGGTACAAATAATGGCCTCTGTGATAGACCCGAAGAGGGAGAAATGAATTTCTTCAAACATAATCAGAGGAAGTTTTAAGAGAAAAGTGGAAATTTTTCTGGATTTTAAGTGATGGGCCGCAATTCAATGGGAAGAACTGGGAAGAAAGAGCACTCCAACACAAATGTATTGGAATTACAATTTTTTGGTTTTCATCTTATGTATCTATTGTTTTGCATGGTAGCACTTGAGCTTCTACATTTAAGGTTCCCATTTGCTTGACATTTTGGGAAATTGATTTTTTTTGGAAATGGCTTCTTTATTTGCCAAATAAAATGGCTTATTTGTCTTAGAAATCAATTTCTGCTGATTGTCTAATTCTTTTTTTTTCCAAATTTGTTTACTTGAACTTCTATAGAAATGAGGATTTTAATGGATGATTTTTACCTAAATATTTGGACTTTTTTTAGATAGGTTCCAAAGTTTTTTTCTTTGTTTTACTTTTTTCTGATATGTGTCTGTTATATTATTTGATTCAGTGTCACCATGTGCTTAGAGCAGAGGTTGTCAATCTTGGCTGCATGATACAGTCATGTATCATGAGAGAGAGCTTAAAACATGCTGATACTTGGGCCCCACCGGGGTTTAGGGTGTGGCCTGGGCACCAGGATTTTCAGAAGTTCCTCAAGTGATTCTACTTTGCAGCCGAGCTTAAGAAACCCTTGGCTAAAGTATTTCGGAGGTATCTGAAACATGCTGTGTGCTTCTGAAAAGTAGGTAACCATGGCTCATTTGAGCGGTGTGATCAGTCTGTCCTCTCATGTCTCTCACTAAGAATAAAGTAAAATGATTAGAATTGGGATGGTAGAAATTAAATAAGGCCTATAAATGGATAGACTAAATTTAAGGCCTTTAAATTCCTGTGTGGTGGGGGAAGAGTTAACAGTTCTTGTTTTGAGCTTTATACTAATCAGAGTAGTTTGGCTCATTATTTAAGTCAGAAATTAACAATCTGCTTTTAGAGCCTGTAACAACTACTAACTTATTGTCAGTATAGTTAGGCAGACATTGTCTCACACTCTTGTTGACTTTGTCACCTACTTTAAATGTAATACGTACTCTGTTACCATAAGAGGATCTTTGTTTACTCCAGTAACAAGTTGTTGGACAAGGACTTGTAAACCCCAATAGTTACCTCCCTGAGGTATCAGAGAGCTTCCAGAAAAAAATCACATTGAACTTTAGACCACTCCTTTCTTTATTCTGAAAAGCAATCCAGTCTATTTCCAGCTTGGAATTGGGAGCTGAGATCAGGCTAGGGATGTTTACTGTGATTTCTCTGTTTGGTTTGAAGTATTGTGATTTCCCACAATACGCCCATATCTTGCAGCTTGTACTGCAATTGGGTTGCCAATTTTTTTTTTTTTTTTTACGTCTATATAGCATATTAGCACAGTGTCTGAAAATAGTGGGGCTTTTTTTTTTTTTTTTTTTTACGTCTATATAGCATATTAGCACAGTGTCTGAAAATAGTGGGGCTTTGTGAATAGTATGGACAACTGGACAGAATGGGGTTCAAAACCTAGGTTTTCTATTTTATAAACTGTTACCTTGGCTTATTTAACTTATTTAGCCTTAATTTCCACATATGGAAAATTGCAGAAATGATATCTAAATTCCAGGTTTGTTAATGAGGTAAGATATTTTAGATTCTTAACAGTGCCTGCCCACAGTTGGTCTGTAATAAATAATAGCTTCCTAGCTTTCAGATTGAATTATTCTAGATAACTATTCTACTAAAAATGGTACCTGAGAACAAACTAAGTTCTAAATTTTCTTTAATAATGAATCTTATTATTATTATTATTATTATTTTTTTTTTTTTTAAGATTTTATTTATTTGACAGAGAGAGACACAGCGAGAGAGGGAACACAAGCAGGGGGAGTAGGGGCGGGAGAAGCAGGCTTCCCGCCGAGCAGGGAGCCCGACGCGGGGCTCGATCCCAGGACGCTGGGACCATGACCTGAGCCGAAGGCAGACGCTTAACGACTGAGCCACCCAGGCGCCCCAATGAATCTTATTATTAATAATGACTATTGGATGTGATGTATATAAGAGTCACATTTTATGTAGCTGAATTTCTGATAAGCCTAATAATCTCCTGATAAAGGTTTTGATACCATACCTTTGTTTATCATAATAGGTTTTATAATTTTTCAATGTGTTTAGAGACAATTTTACAAGAACTCAAAGATTCTTACATTGTGAAGGGAGAAATTAGAAAATTGGTAGTATAGACTGGGAAGTATAGTATAGTCAGGGCATGAATACCTAGGTTCATACATACACAGTGAAAATACAGGTGTGATATAGGCCATGCTGCGGTGTAGCCAAATCAAATTAGTTCATGAAAAAATGTTTATAGCATTCCTCTGTGTGCCCAAATAAGCTCGTTGTAATAACAAAATTGTTTTCATTTTTTAAGGCACAATTCAAATGTGGTCTACTTTATGAGGTCGTCACCTTCCTCCCCGCCGACTGCTGCCCCCCTCCTTAATGAGAAATCCCTTTTCTCTGTATTCTTCTGGTATGTGATCTCTGTCCTGGCACCTACTTCACTGTCATAAGAAAAGTAATGCTGCACCTAAGTGTCAAACATTGGGTTGAAGGTTGTGTGGAGTCCTAGTTAAGGGCACTGACTTTGACATCAGAGAGATGTTAATTTTAATTTGTCACTTGTTGTGTAAAGATTTGTCCTTTCTGAGATCAGTTTACTTAACAGTAAGACAGGGATAAAAGCTTCTGCCTCATGGTTTTGTTGAAAGATTAAGTGGCTTAAGTGGCCCACGATAGTAAGTGTTCAATAGATGGTTATTGTTGGTGTATGGCACGTTATTTATTGTGTGTAAATATGACATGTGACTGAAATAAGATCTCCTCTTCTACCCTGTGCACTTTTTAGGACAGGGAACTATCACTTGGCATTTTGCATACGGTTTAGTAAGTTAACAAATATTTGTTGCTAGAATACATTAACTTTCACCTTCACTTGACTTTTAAAAAGAACAGAAACATTTCATAGAAGTTGTCTTCTAAATGACTTTGTTTTAAAAATCCCTACAGGTACTTTCTCATCCCATAACTTCAGTGTCCTGAAATCTGAGGATTCCACCAAGATAATATGATAGGAACTTGCAGTGACTTGGAGCCATATCCTACTTAGACGAATGCAGGCCTTCCAGATTTCCTGAGAGCTTGGTATAACAGCACACACTGTAACAGGCGCAGGCAATAATGCCGTCTTTGCCTCAAGAAAGAGGTAAGCGGATTGATGTAGTCACGTTATTATACATCCTCACTGAGAATTTTTTCTAAGAATCAAAAATTAATTGAGGATTCTTAAAGAACCAGAATTTATAGTTTTACTTTTTTTTTTTTTTTTTTTTTGTGGTGGGGCATCTGTGTTCTCTGCTATGGAATTTTTGTTATTTTAGTGATATCTGATTGGTTTACATTTCTTTTAAAGTTATTCAGGGACCCTCTCCCCTGGATCTGAATACAGAATTGCCTTATCAAAGCACAATGAAAAGGAAAATCCGAAAGAAGAAAAAGAAGGGAACCATTACAGCAAATGTTGCCGGGACAAAGTTTGAAATTGGTGGGTCTCCTCAGAATCATGAGGTTTTCCTCACTGTTGGAAAGACTAAATTCAGGGAGATATCTTTTGTGTAATTGATTTTTAAATGCCTTCTATAAATTGTTCTTTTTTATGAGATATTTAACATGTTAATAAACAAAAACATCAATGTAAACTAAAAGCTTTAGCTACTCATGGGATGGTATTATATATATGTGATTTTGGTTAATACTTATTTTTTAAATCAAGTATGAAGTAAACATTAAACAGATTAAAATGTTAGATGTAAAATTAAAAAAGTACAAAATTTGAGATTTTTATTAAACAATGACTGACTTCAGGAAGAGGGTAGAAACACATTTCTCTCTGGGTTTTAAAAAATTGTTTTGATGATGCTGTTGCTTTTTATTAATGAAATTCCAGTTTTAATGTATAAGCAGTATCTGTGGTATAGAGAATAGATAAGAAGAATAATTGTTTTAAATTAAGATACACTTGCCTAGCATTGCAGAACTCTTAACAAATACCAGAAGTACTCAACTAATCTTCCTCTTAGCCATTTTGCTTTAAGAGACTTAAGGAAAGGGGCGCCTGGGCGGCTCAGTCGTTAAGCGTCTGCCTTCGGCTCAGGTCATGATCCTGGGGTCCTGGGATCGAGCCCCGCATCGGGCTCCCTGCCCCGCGGGAAGCCTGCTTCTCCCTCTCCCACTCCCCCTGCTTGTGTTCCCTCTCTCGCTGTGTCTCTCTCTGTCAAATAAATAAGTAAAATCTTTAAAAAAAAAAAAGTTAAGGAAAATCATACGAAGTTCAAGGATGTTAATTATTCTTACCCTTATTCATCTTTGAGAGTCTCATTTCCATTTACAGTAATTCACCAAAGTTCTTGGGCAATCAGTGGAATACTTCATTGGAATTGAGGTGCCCCAAGACTCTGTTCGAACAAGTGGTCCTCAGAGGCGGGGACTTGAAGCAAGTTAGCACGGGAGGGTGAGATGCAAAAGATTCAGGGTTTATTTGCAGCATGTTTTCTAGAAACAAGACTAAGGTGACCATTGTTAAAGTGATTGATGGTTGGTGTTAACTTATCCTCTTACTTTTAAGGTTCTGGTGGGGTTCATAAGGAACCTTGACCTATAGGAGAGTGTTTCAGTTCACTTCCCTCTCACTTTCCCAGGAAGTTTTCCCAGGGCTGAAGTTGCCTTAGCATTCTTTATACTGATTCCTACCTCCTTGCTGAACCTGCGCCGTGGTGTTTAACAGAATTCCTGGCTCGGTCCTTGGATCAGGGACTGTTGGGAGAACACAGAGCCAAGTATGGGGAAGGAAAAGAGAGAATTGGCCATGTGTCAAGGAGAAAGTGCTACCTTGCTTCTCCCTTATTTAAGCAAGTGATATGCAACAGCTTACTTCTTATTATTTAATTCCTGCTCTCTTGACAGTTTGAATTACATAATGAAAATACACTTAAGCCATAGTCAGCACACCTGTGTTTTTGCCCTGGTGTTGCCTGTTTCTTCATGTAGAATACTTTGCTGTAGTTTTAATAGTAATATTTTTATAACCATTGACCAAACATTTCCACATGCAGTATCTCATTTAATCTTCCAAATTAGAAGGATATCATCCTCCACCGCACGGATTTAAAAATTGCATTACTCCCTTCCTCTCTTTTCCTTGCCTTTCCTCACTCTAATAGTGAGGTGAATTTGAAGTGGCTTATAGCCATAAGAAAATAAACATGGAAAAATAAAGATAGTAAAATAAGATGAATCTTGTGGCTGGCAAGAATCCAAAATACATACCATGAGACCCTCTATAGTTAGAGATGGACATGGATTTAACTCAGAGCTTCCTAGCAACCAAAGCAAATATTAAATCATAATCAGTTATAGGATGCACAGTGCCCAGAAGATAAAATCATACTGGTTATTCAAAGGACATATGACTTCTGTATTCCTGAGTCTTGAGAGAAATTTCTCTAATAGTTTCTTATGAAGACATGTTGTGGAATAATGAAGTACATTCTCTCAGTAGTTCTATAATTATTACATTATGAAATTCCACATTATTTTTTATACATCCTTTATAGCAAAGTTGAAGAAACAAGTCCAGAGTTAGCAACTTACCAAGTTCACACAGATAGCAGAAGTGGAACTTGAACCTGAATTCATTTGTTTCCAATTCAGTTTTCTTTTTACTATATCATATTGCCTATATAAAATGTGAATTGGAATTTAAAATGAGAAACACAAATGTTTCTTCTGTATCTAAAATTCAGAGAGTTGCATGGATTCCTGTTTTTAAAACTCCTGAACAGCCTTTGAGAGCTCTGTGGGTCAAGGCAAAAGATCATAGGACAAATTGTGAGGAATGTATTTTTGTTAATTTTTATTAAATGCGGACGAGAAAGATCAGAGAGCGGGGTATGTAAGTATGCAAAGGGAAACGTGAGGAAATGGTTCATATGGTTATCTCTATTTTACCAATTAGGCGTTTGGTTTGGTAGAAATTCAGTATGGAGGCAAGTATTTCACCCCCTTTTTAAAAGAGAGCTCCTAAAATATCAGCATTTAAAGGCGTGGAGTTAGGCTTTAGCTGTCAACAGCTTTCTATTTGGAGCTGACGCATTAAACGGATTTCTTTTCCGTGCGGTGGAGGATGATATCCTTAAAAGATTCCAATTGATTTCTAAAATTTCAGTTCAAATAAAAATTTGATTAAATAGCTTACCTGAAAAAAGTGACATTTTAGTACGCGGCATTGTATTTTTCTTTGAAGTTCAACTTTGTCAGCTCTTCAAGCTTTGAATTTCATAATAAAAGAGATTTATATATGACTGACCTTACAGATTTTCTTTTGTGAATCTAAGGAAAGAATGGATCTTTTCCACTATTGTTATATAACCTGAATGTTCCCAGCCTCACTGGTTCATGTACACATTCATAACCACATTGTAGTAGCTCATTATACTCCCTCCCTCTGTAACTGCCACCAGTTCCATTTCTCTCTTTAAGGTCTTCTTGGTTATTTCTGAGCAGCCCCAGACAACATCTCTCCTGAACTCAGGAACAGGTCTGCTTTTGAGCTGCTATTCTGGCCTCATTATTATTTTCTGCTTATGAGTGAGGTAAAGCAGTCTCCCAGGCTGGGTGGCTATGGCCCTTGTCCTTCCTGTGAGCCCTAGGTGGTACGGCAGGTCCCAAGCCCTCAGGTCACCAAAGCTGCATGGTGGTCTGGGGCAGACAAGAGAACAGCCCTTCCCCCAACTCTTACTTTGTACATTGTCACCCGGACCTTCAGAACAGCCCCAAGTTTTCCCGAGCCTCTCATGGAAAATGGCAACTTCAGCTCAGCATTCCTCCCCGACCCCAGCATCACGCACCTCCAATCACTGTTCTCTTCTTTTATGTCTGTGTGCTAGGAACCATTGCATAAAAAGTCCTTTCTTTCTCCTCAGCCAAAAAGCCATCAAGAGTCTCTAGGACTTGAGACTGACAAGTGTCTGCTCATCACTTTTATACTTGAGCCAAGTAAATTCAGACAGTTGATCCCCTCTTACCATTTCTCCTCATATGTAGGGTATACAGTAAAAGGAAAATATTTAAAAATAAAACATTGAAGTGCTGCTATATAGTTACACCTTTCTATTAAGACTCATATGATCTCACTGATATGAGGAATTCTTTTTTTTTTTTTTTAAAGATTTTATTTATTTATTTGACAGAGGAAGAGACAGCGAGAGAGGGAACACAAGCAGGGGGAGTGGGAGAGGGAGAAGCAGGCCTCCCGCCGAGCGGGAAGCCCGATGCGGGGCTCGATCCCAGGACCCTGGGATCATGACCTGAGCCGAAGGCAGACGCTTAACGACTGAGCCACCCAGGCGCCCCGATATGAGGAATTCTTAATCTCAGGAAACAAACAGGGTTGCCCGAGTGGCAGGGGGTGGGAGGTGGGAGGGATGGGGTGGCTGGGTGATAGACATTGGGGAGGGTATGTGCTACTGTGAACGCTGTGAATTGTGTAAGACTGTTGAATCACAGACCTGTACCTCTGAAACAAATAAACATTTAAAAAAAAAAAAGATAGCAGCGAGGGAAAAATGAAGGGGGGGAAATCGGAGGGGAGAGACGAACCATGAGAGACTATGGACTCTGAGAAACAAACTGAGGGTTCTAGAGGGGAGGGGGTGGGGGGATGGATTAGCCTGGTGATGGGTATTAAAGAGGGCACGTACCGCATGGAGCACTGGGTGTTTATACGCAAACAATGAATCATGGCACACTACATCAAAAACTAATGATGTAATGTGTAGTGATTAACATAACATAATAAAAAAATAAAAAATACTAATGATGTAATGTATGGTGATTAACACAACACAATAAAATAAAAAAAAATTTATTTTTTTTTAAAGATTTTATTCATCTATTTGAGAGAGAGAGACATAGTGAGAGCAGGAACACAAGCAGGGGGAGTGGGAGAGGGAGGAGCAGGCCTCCCGCAGAGCAGGGAGCCCGACGCGGGGCTCGATCCCAGGACCCCGGGATTACGACCCGAGCCGAAGGCAGACGCTCAACGACTGAGCCACCCAGGCGCCCCCAAATAAAAAAATATTTTATAAAAAAAAAAGACTCAGAATTCTGTTGGAACCCAAAATTTATCCTAAATATTTTGCTTATCTTTATTCCAAACTTGAAATTCATTGGAAGACAAATGTTAGTATGTTAACCAGAGGGGAGCATATAAATAGTTTGTACTGAAAAACAAGCATTCTTCCAAGCATAAATTTTTTCAATAGGATTAAAGGGTTAGGAGCAGATAGGAGGGCCAGTTTCCAGATCTCTACTGTGAATTCTGCTTCATTATTTCATATACTGAGTCAACATAGCTGACTTGGTTTTAACTGCTAAAAATAATTTGGGAAGGTGGAAAGTATAGGATAGGTCTAATGATCGGGGACTATTTTTACCTTTTCCCTTTTAGCCCAAGGTCACAAAAAAAGCCATGAAGTACATTTTCCTGAGTAGAGGTGTTGTCTCAGCTGTGTGTATGTTTTCCCTGGGCCATGAATAATCACTGAACTCTTGAGCAGTGTTGTGTACCTGCTAAATCTCAGAGGGTTGAAACCAAGGATTTTGAGTGCAACTTAAAAGCAGTTCTCTGTTACTGTGAGTATAATTTGGCCCTAGATAAATTGTTGTAACTAAAAATAAGGGTATGCTGTAACTAATGGATATTTGGCAAATGAAATACTGTGAGATAAAATTTAAATATATCAAAAATGTTTCCACAATGAATATATTTCAGTAGTATTTTAATTTTCATTTCACTTAATCATTTATTTGCAGTTCGTTTAGTAATAGATGAAATGGGATTTATGAAAACTCCAGATGAGGATGAAACAAGTAACCTTATATGGTGTGATTCTGCGGTTCAGCAGGAGAAGATTGCAGAGCTGCAGAATTACCAGGTGGGGATTAATCATGACCAATTATTGGTTTTAGGAGAGTTATATGAATTCCATTATAATTTTACTTAGATAGGGTTCTTAATGTGTGGACATATTAAATTTCAGTTCTAACTTACCTAAATAGCCTGTTTTGTTGCTGTCCGGTTGTACTCACTCTTTGCATAAAAGCCTGAATTCCTTCCAATCTAACTTTTAACCTCTTTCCATCTTTAAGGAAGAATTAATAGGAGAAAACGCTTCCTACATGGGTGTTTTGCATTATGCTTAAAGACGAGTGACATGGAATAGATTGCACAGAGAGATCAGGAAGTGGAAATACCTTGTAATGTCTGCTATGTGTAACCTGGCTTCATTTATTTTTAGACTGTCAAACAAACATATTAAAAAAGGACATCAAACTAAAAAGCCAAATACACAGAATTTTAGACAATCGACATTTTGTATAGTTTGTCAGTGTAGAGTGTAATACAAAATTGACTATAGGAAACAAACAAGGTCATTTTTGCCAGTATTTCTACAATGCTTATCTGTATGAATATAGTAAATATAGAATACTAGAAATAATTTGGACATTGAATCACCAGTTATTCAACACAGAAAATTGTAACTTTAATATCTGTGTAAACACCATTTTCTAATTTCTTAAAAAATTTGCGATTTTATTCTTTGATTATTATAGATTCTTTAATCCTATAAAGTCATTATAAGTCATTTAATTTTAAATGTTTTACATTAATAGTTTTTTTAAAACATTAAACTCAGAGGATGGATATAACTCTATTATAGTATAAATGAATATATTCATTAAGTCCATGAGAATATTAAATTAAATATTAAATACCTTTGTATTTTTCAGAGGATCAACCATTTTCCAGGAATGGGGGAGATCTGTCGAAAGGATTTCTTAGCAAGAAATATGACCAAGTAATCTTCATTTTCTTATAATAGAGAAGACCTTCTCAAAGTTTGTTTTGAATATTATAGTGTATCTTTCACCAGGTTACATTGATTTGAAATGATATTTTGATGGAAGAGATAGAATTTTAGAGCTAGCAGGTCTTAGAAGTTTCCTGGTTCTTCCTTCATTTTGCAGAGGAGGTAACTTAGCATCAGAGAAATGAGTATCTTGCACAAGTCCAACAAATAGTTAATAGCAGAGCTGGAGCAGAATCCTGGTCTCCAGAATCTCAGGCTTCTTTTTTACTGCAATTTAGCAACATAATACACTGTGTGTGTACGTGTATGTTCATATCCTGGTTATTGAGCATCTGTATGTTATTGAGCATCTGATGTGTGCCAGACACTACAGAGGTGCATTTGTACACTCACATACACATAGACACATGTGTATGTCCCTACCCAGGGATATATGTGTATGTGTATTTACCTCTGAAGAGACCACTATTTGGAGTAACAGTCTGCTTTTATGGGAAAAAATGTTCACAGTTTCTCAAGTGTTATACCAAATGAACTGCAGAAATTTTATGCAATTTGTATTTCTGTGGATTAGGGTTTTTTTCGTTTAAGGAAGTTGAGTGATAATTTGAGAAAATTTTTAAAAAAGAAAACTCAAACAGAGAAAGGTTAGTAAACTTGGTATGCAGCTGAATATTTATATGCATCATGTGAAAGTTTACACACCCACTCACTCAACAAATATTTTTTGTGTGTCTACTATAGACTAGAGACTGCTAACAAGTAAACAAGACAAAGAAGGCCTGGTCCCTGCCTAGAACTCAAATTTTAGTAAGGGAGAAAGAGTGATACATATAATACAGGTTGATGGTACCACATTAGGGGAGAGTCAGTGTATGGCTGTGACAAGGATGATGACAGGTCATTTCTAGGAGGGCCCAGATGGTTTTCTGGAGAATTCAAATGCAAAATGGATATCGAAAAGTGTATAGGAGTTCACCCTTTGAGAAGAAGGCAAGGAGACTATAGGCAAAGACAACAGTGGGAGAAACTGTATGGAGACTTAAACCAATATGATATGTTTGGGGAACTACTAAGCAGTTTCTGTGGTTTTGTAGGGTGCCAGGAGGCTCAGTCTGAGATGATGCTGCAGATAAATGCAAAGGCCAGGCTGGGTACACCATGTTACTATGTTTTATTCAATCATTTAATCATTGATTCTTTAATCTCTTTATGCAGCAAATATTTCTGTTTATCCTGAGAGAAAGGAGAACTTTTTTAATGGGTTTAAGCAGAGAAATGTTGTTTTTGATACTGTTGGTGGGCCTGTAGATAACGGATTCAAAGAAGGTAGGAAGGAAGGAGGAAGCCCTGAAGGAGGTGATTGTCAACATCTGATAAACCAGAGGAGAGATAGTGGGAATGGGGTAGAGAAAATACTTCTGGAAAATAGGGAAGAGATAGAATTGACAGGACTGGAAAGCTGCTGTGATGTGAGACTCAAAGGGGAGGAGGAGAGCAGTGTCCAAGATGGCTTAGGAGATCGTGTAGGTGGGGCAATTTAGTAACACAGGGTTATAGGAAGAACACACTTCAGAGGAAAGGGAATTCCCTCTGTAAAGTTTTGGACATGTGTTTCATTGAAGTCATTTACTTTCATCTAACATATTTATTAAATATCTATTATATGCTGGGCAGTATGCTGGCCTTTGGGCACATGAGGTGATCAAAATCACATTTTTGGCTTTTACAACTTTGGGTTGCAACTGTGATAAGTGCAATGAAGTAGAGGTACATAGTTGTAAATCAGCGCACAGTGAAGGACTTCTGGCTGAGGGAGGCATTGGAGAGTTTCCCTGAGGATGTGGTGTGGAAGCCTAAATATGAATGCTGAGTAGGAGTTTATCGGTGAAAATGGTAGAGAACAGCTTTCTGGGCAGGAAGAATAGTATGGTCTGAGGTCATATGGTGGAAGACAACAGGAATAGTCAGGATACTGAAATAAAGCCAGGTGTAGCTGGAGCACAGAGACATTGATGGGAATGGGAGAGATTAGCTGAACGGTGATGGTTGGGATTATAGTCCTTATCCTAAATTCCACAGGAGAGGAGGGGTGGGGGTGAAGCTGTTAAAATGACCATATTTGCATTTTGAAAAGATCATTCTACCTGCTTTGTAGAGAACAGAAGTCGGTATGGTTGGGAGAGGCAAGAGGGTTAAATGTAGACCCATTAGTAGCTATTACAAATAGGCAATTTCTCATTTTTATAGAATCCTTGGAATTTTCCTTAAGGAAAAAGGAATCTTCTATTAGATGGAAAGTTATGACCTATTTATATAAAAATAGAATTAACTAAATTACATGTTTAATATCATTTAGTAAGTCCATGACAGCTATGAGCAGAAATTATTCCCTATTTCCAAATTCCTAAGACTGCATGTCTGTTTTGAAGCTATACATTTTTACATCAAATGATTTGTGCTAGATTGCTAAATGGAATAAAGTATTTCTCTTGAATATATGCATGCTTGGATTTTTTCCATATATATATGTGAAAGAATGGTATCATTCATAAATACTCTATGTGGTTAGTTTAAAATATATTATTTTAATTAAAACTTTAAATTGATCTAATTTCATATCATTGTTAAAAATATAATAAATACATATAAAGGTATTGGAAACAAAAACAAGGACATTAGCACTGTTACTGTGTTTCCTTTAGCTTTGTGTATATGTGTGTATGTGTGTTTTCCAAACCGGTCAATGTTAGCCTATTTTGTATTGAGATTATTTAGCTTATTGGCTTATTCTGGATTTGACAGGTGGAGTTGGTAATTATTTCCCTTCTCATGGTGGAAATATAACCTTCTTAGAGGGTTTTCTTGAAAGAGCACTTGAAATATGATAACCATAGGAACCTACAGTTGTGGAGGCCAAGTGGCTTATATATTCCATACCCTAGTTTTAGAATGTAGGCCCAACCTCTGTGCACCCCATGTTCTGTGGTCCCATTTTAGATTTTACCAATCTCATCTGGAGACAATATCTCCTTATCTATAAAAGACTTGCATACATTTATTAAAAGGGCCTTTTTTTGAAATAATCAGATTTTCTTAATAGATAATATTTTAAAATATTTCTTCTAATTTCTTCATTTTTATTGGGATGTATATGTACGTGTACAAAATCAGTATGGGATCAATATGTACAAAATGGGGGATTAATCAAAAGTAAACATTTTATACCTAGTTTTATCCTTAAGTTATGTATCAAATAGGCAGCCTGATTAGTAGCAAATATAAAAATATCAGGACATACATTGTAGCCATAAAACCACATGTATAGGCATATGTAGTTCATGTTAAAACAAAACACAACAAAATTTCTAGTATACTCAGAGGCTCACATGGTTTTCTCAGAAAAGTAGTTAAACTTCAAAAGCAGTGTAGTAAAAGTTGATCAAAACTGCTCCTTATGGGTGCCTCAGAGGACTTAAAATTATCTTTAAAGAAGCAACATGAATGGTACCTGGCAGTGAACTATTTCCTGCTACCCAACCTCTCATCCCAGAGGCAGAGTTAATGACTATTTCCACATGTTACCTTGCCATGTATGTCTTTATTGCACTTACCACATTGTATTTAATAACCTATATGTAAATTCCTTAGGGTAGAGACCATATTAATTTATCTTAATATCTCTAGTGCCTAGCATATAGTATATACTCGAATGATCTATCAATATATTAATTAGTACATAGGACAGAGAATCTTGTCTGTATTTTTCACTGATGTATCCCCTGTGTCCAGAATAATGCCTAGCACATAGTAGGTACTTTATAGACATTTGTTGAATGAATCAGTAAATGAAGAACTGGTGGGAATTTAAATCCTTGCGATGTTAGTAGCACAAAGGAAATTTAGAAAAGTTTGAATAGAAATTACTTTTCATATTATCTCTAATTTACAGAATGATCAAGTCCCGGCCTCTGGATTATACCTTTGTTCCTCGAACATGGATCTTTCCTGCTGAATATATGCAATTCCAGAACTACATGAAAGAATTGAAGAAAAAAAGAAAGCAGAAAACTTTTATAGTAAAACCAGCTAATGGTGCAATGGGTCATGGGTAGGTATTTTTCACCCAGAACATATAAAAGTTTTAAAAAAAAATTGGGCAAAAAGAATAAATGTGAGCATTCACTCATGGTTGAATATGAAAAAAATAATAAAATGGGTCTCTGTTGCTTTTTTGGAACTACTTATTGAGCCATTTTACCCTGTCCACAGGCTTCCGTTATTCAATTTAAAAATTAAGTCAGTTGAAAGACTTTAATAGGAGACAACAAAACAGAGAAAAAAAAATGTTTTCTAATTTTTTCTAAAACATAAAATTTGTACTTATAATAATTTTAGAGTAAGCTTGGAGGGTAAAACTCAGTTGATGTGGTAGAGCTAAACTGACTTGGAGGAAAAAATGGTAAGGTAGTTACTCTTTCAATCGCTAGAAATTTAAAGCAAAATAAGTATATTAAGCTATTCCTTATGTTCCGCAAATAAGTGAAACCATATGATAATTGACTTTCTCTGCTTGACTTATTTCACTTAGCATAATCTCCTCCAGTCCCTACTAGGCAGTTTAAAACTCTGCCCTACTCTTCATTTCCTGCTTGTGCAAAGCCTGATGGTTAGCCAGAGGTAAGAGCTTAGGTAGGGCCTTTCAAGTGTTTCCTGAGCATGCACATGGCATTCTAGATTTCCAGAAATATGTCTGAACTTTTCAAAGCTTTTATTTCCTAAAGATTCTCATACTTCAGTTTTTCTTCCCAATATTTTTAGTTAGTATATTGTTTTCTCCAACCTTTATTGGTTGTCATAGGCAGCAGGAACTAATGCATTTGTCTTTAAATGTTTTCAACAATACCCCCCCCCCAGGTAGCTGCCTCAACACTAGGAGAGTTCCTAATTAGGCGAGATAAGAGCAGTCCTTGAGTTCCTTCAGGGAGCCACCAGACAGGTAAAACAACAACAGTAACAACAACAAAACTACCACAAGAATAAGGTCTATTCTGCTCCCTCCAGAACCAGAACCTATACTGGGAACATGGGCTGTTGTTCAAGGCCATTGATAAGTTGAGGTTGGGGGATGGGACCAGAGTAAGTTAAAATGCCACAAAGCTCTTTTACAAGGATTAGGCTTTTTTTTTTTTGATTAAGTGTTCCCTGGTTGTTATAAGCTTTTGGTCAGTTTCTAGGTTTCCAAAAAAGTTGATTCTGACAATTTTTTGGCTGTTTATTGCATTTGTGGAGGGACAGACTTTGGAGTTCCCTACTCCACCATTTTCCTCTTGAGTATTATGTGTAACTTTGTAAACATCTTGACCCCATATCAAATTAGTCATTTAATTCTTTTTTTTTTTTAACTTAGGATTTCTTTGATAAGAAATGGTGACAAACTTCCATCTCAGGATCATTTGATTGTTCAAGAATACATTGAAAAGCCTTTCCTAATGGAAGGTTACAAGTTTGATTTACGAATTTATATTCTGGTGACATCGTGTGATCCACTGAAAATATTTCTCTACCATGATGGACTTGTGCGAATGGGAACAGAGAAATACATTCCACCTAATGAGTCTAATTTGGTAAGTGATACCAGACAAACATAAAAACATATATGGTTTTATTCATTTGTTCAACTTGTGCTTTTTAGAGCATGCACTGTGTGTAAAGATTATATGAATCAAAGGGCGCCTGGGTGGCTCAGTTGGTTAGGCGACTGCCTTCGGCTCAGGTCATGATCCTGGAGTCCCAGGATGGAGTCCCGGGATCGAGTCCCGCGTCGGGCTCCCTGCTCAGCGGGGGGTCTGCTTCTCCCTCTGACCCTCTTCCCTCTCTTGCTATCTGTCTCTCATTCTCTCTCTCTCAAATAAATAAATAAAAT